TCTTTCATCTACTAAATCAGTAACTACTGTTATTAAGAAATATGACTTCTTTCCAGGCCGAAAATATTGTCACCCTCTATGACGTTCCAAATATTTGGCACATTCCTTTACTACTAAGAGTAAGTAGTTCACTTTTTGAGTTCTTTTTATCGTCTAACATTCTTAGTACAAAATTAGAACTGAAAATATCTGTTCCCTGATTCATTTGTTTATTTTACTGATCATGAATAGGATCAAAAGGCACATGAAGCAATCTTGAAAGGATTGAACCTACTAGGGTTTGCCCTATGAACTCTCTAATCCACCCTTTATTTTTTTCATATCTAATTGCATGATCTGTCTCCATCTATGTTTTCTTTATGTTTTGGCTCTGATTTGAATACTTGTCTGAATTACAGGATTGCAAGTAAGCCTGACTTAACAGAGTGGACTGCTAGGACCAAAGTTTATGACATGCTTCACGAACCTGTAGGTGCCAAGAATCATTAAATTGCTGAGTAGTCAGCGTTTATTTGCATATGGTGAAAATAATAATTCCTTTGCAGTCATTTACACTGCAGGTTAAAATTGTCATGGTTGGAAAGTACATTGGGCTTAAAGATTCCTACCTCTCAGTTTTAAAGGTAAAAGCTTTGCTGGTTCTCGAAAACATGAGAATCTTTCGTTGTTGGCATTGTTACTCATTTAATTCTGCCCCTTTTATCAAGTCATTTCAATCACTCAATGCAATCCCTATATTATTCATTTATTTAGTTCTTCCCCTTTCACTAAGTCATTTAAACTAGGTCTACTTAATGCATGTAAATACCTAACATGTAACAACTCATTCTATATTATTCATTTATTTATTTCTGCCCCTTTTACCAAGTCATTTCAACTAGGTCTGCGTTATGTATGTAAATTCCTAACAATTGCTAACAACTCTATCCTATAAAAACCCTAGTTGGAAAGAAGCTCTAAAGGTTAGAAGGCTAATAGACATGCAGTGAAATTGGCTTCTAATATTTTAGGTTTATTGCAATAGGCACTTTTGCATGCATCTGTTGGCTGCCGCAAGAAGCTAATTGTAGAGTGGGTTGAAGCGAGTCATCTTGAAGACATTACTGCTAAAGAGGTCAGTTTTAATTGTAATTTTTTATCGCAGTTATTTTCATGGATTTTTAATTGTAATTTTTGTCACTAAATAATATATTTCCCCCACACTTTAACTTTGTGTAGTACTTGTATGCTCAGAATGTCTATAATTTACACCTTACAGGATCCTGAAACTTACAAAGCAGCATGGAATCATTTGAAGGTTTTTTCACACTACAACGTCGATTGATTTTTCATTTTGTGTTTATATCCTCTAGTTTCTCTTCAGTTATTTCCTTCGAAAGAACCTCTGAAAGGTCTTTTAATGTAGGGTGCTGATGGTATCCTAGTTCCTGGAGGCTTTGGTGATAGGGGAGTGCAAGGGAAAATTCATGCTGCAAAGTATGCTCGTGAAAGCAAAGTTCCTTTCCTAGGCATCTGCCTTGGGATGCAAATAGCTGTCATAGAGTATGCACGTTCAGTTCTTGGTTTGCATTATGCGAACACTGAAGAGTTTGATCCTCAAACATCAAATCCTTGCGTCATATTTATGCCTGAGGTTTGTAACAATATTACATTTGAAAAAATATATGTCTTGTCCCATTAAGTGAATTGTATGTATGATTTTTTTCACAGGGATCGAAAACTCATATGGGAGGAACAATGCGTCTGGGATCGAGGAGGACTTACTTCAAGGTTCCTGACTGCAAATCTGCCAAGCTGTAAGAACACAACTCTCCAAGCTTAATTCCTATATATGATGTTACAAACTTCTTCAAATTGTTCAGGGGTTATATTCTAAGCGGCATTTCCTTTTCTTAATGGTTGTTTATTCTAGTTATGGTGATGCAAACTTTGTTGATGAACGGCATCGGCATAGATACGAGGTAGGCTACTATGCATGGGATTATTAGATGCTATTTGTTGGTGACAGTTTATGTCAAGTTATTAAGAATGATGTTCGTCCTTTGTAGGTCAATCCTGATATGATATCAAAACTTGAAGCAGCTGGTCTCTCGTTTGTTGGCAGGGATGAAACTGGTAGGAGGATGGAGGTAAGTTACACTGTAGCATCTCTATCTGAAAAATCAGACTCCACTCAACAGTTTCACTGATCATTACTTCTCTATTTAGTTCATGATTGTAATGGGCATTGTCTGTTGGCTATACAGATTGTAGAACTACCAAGCCATCCATATTTTATTGGTGTTCAGTTCCATCCTGAATTCAAGTCCAGACCAGGAAAACCTTCTGCTCTTTTCTCAGGTTCTTATCCATAAAGTCTGGCATTAAGGGTTTATATTGGTTGCAGCATAATTGCTTAGTATTTAGATTATTTTATCTCTATCAGTGTGGAGGGTTGCCTGGATTAATTCTGAATAACATGTTAGGTAATCGACTTTTGAAGTCCGTTACCTGTATTGAAGTACATAAAACAGGGTTAGAGAATTGTTGTGTTGTGATAATGGCACTTCTCTAGCATGTTGGAAATTTGCTTATGCTTGTTTTATATCTTATGATTTTTATTTTATTTTATGAAGTAACACCTAAAAATCATCCATTGAACTTTGCCTGTCAAGCTCTATATGTATTTTCTTAAATGTCCAGGACTCATCGCGGCATCATGTGGGCAATTGGAATTGTTTTTAAACAAGTCTGATCATGTAAGCAACGGAGTGGCAAACGGGGTAAATACCGGAAAAGCAAATCTAAAGGTCTGGCAAAACGGGAACTGTTTCAAGTCTGCCAATGGATCATTAAATGGTCTGTACAGCAATGGTAATGGTGTGCACCATTAAGAACTCGGTTTAAGTTTCTCCAGGAGTATCCGATAAGAACTCGGTTCTGTGTGTACAGTGGTTGAGTATGAGTAGGGTTTCTTAGCAATTGAGAGACGGACAATACTTTTCCAGGAAGGCTTTTTGGTGTTTAATGAATAGGTTTATCATTATATGAAGTGGCTGCAGCAGAGAATATGGAGCAAGAGGGTGTCAAAACGTTGAACTTAATACCCTGTGTGCTATGATATTGGCTTTAATTCATTTAGATTGCAAGAAGAGAATGCACTATCAACAATACAAGACCTAGCATTCCTCTGCAACTATACAAAAGCCATTACCTTTTCAGTAAAAGAACCTGGCATGATGTTGATGATGATGATGCAAATTAGATTTAATAAATTTAAATTTCTCTTACTATTATTATTATTATCCTGGATTTTGTTGTTTACCACCATTCAGGGACACTATTAGGTGTGTACTTTTGAATCTGTTATATACACAACTATTATCATTGTTATCAATTAAAATAGCTATTTCAGTTTATCTACTTATTGATTTATTTTAAATGAAGGGTTAACATTTCTAACCATGTTAAATTTATTTTTTTTAATAAAAAAAGTCATTAAAAATCTTTAAATATTGAAAAGTTTTTTACCATGAAAAGAAAGACCGGAGGATAACATACGAATTAAAAGATGCAGATAAAAGAACACATTAAGAATCGTAGATGTTCTATATTCTTTACCTAAGACGTCAAGTGGTGAAACCTGAAAACACAGATCATTACAGTACTCTGTTTAATTGAATTTTATGGGTTTGGATATTTTTGTATTTATAGTATATTAATTTTTTTGTTTTATTTATTTTATATTTTACATGTTTTATTGTGATAATTTAATTTTAGTTTTAGATTTATTTTTTGAAAAAATTTAAAATAAACTATTGTAACAAATTAATTTAATGAGGTTTTAGTTACGTTTTTACTTTCAAACAATATATTTAAACTTATTTATTTGTAAGTGTCAATTTATTCTACTAACAAAATTTGAAGACTGGAGCGGGACATTAAAACTACTTTATATTATTTTTCAAATAGTTTAGATAAGATAATATTTATTTTAAAAATTAACTTATAATGATAAATACATACACTCGCTAATAAATATAATGTTTAGTTGATCAGAATGTTTAAATTCATCAATGCATGCACTCATTAATAAATATAACGCTTAGTTAATCAAAACATTTTTTCTATTTTTATGATACGTTTTTTGTCGTTTGATCGTTGTTTTTGTTTATCATTTTTTAGAGTTGGATTTGACATCGTCACGACTGATCAAGATGACGTTCATTTATTATGAAGTTGATCTTCCCTACTTTGAATTCTCATATTGAATTTGGATACACTATTTAGGTTCGTGGATAGTTTTTCAGGTTGTTCGACTCTGATTTGTGGTTTATCAGTTGTATTTCAATAGCCTAATCATCTTTTGTGGTTTGTTTGTCGATACGGTCAGATATGTTTGTATCTATATTTTATTCGAGTTTATTTAGTTAGATTTTTTAATTTTTTCCTTGTATTGTTATTGTGTGATCTTAAGTGGGTAAATTTCTTATGTTAACGATTATAGAAAAATAACCTTATTATGTACTTAGTTTACGGTTGTGCTTGTAAATTTTTATTATAATTTGGATATTTTATCTTTTTAATAAAACTAACTGTTTGTTTGTGTTAAAAACAATCTAATCTTATAAATTATATAAAAAAATTATTATGAACTCCAATAAATCGGGTTAAATCCGATTTAAAAAAATAATGAACAATTTATAATTTTAGATAAAATAAACACAAATTGGTACCAAATAAAACAAAAGGAAATGAACACGAATATAAATATAGGAAATGTATTGTGGAGAAACAGCGTGGCATGAATTAAACCACAAAAACTCAAATTCACACAAAACTGGAAAACCATTCATTAAATCCTCAAATACTTGAATTAGCTTATGGATTAGTTGGTTTGTTTGGCTTCTAATTATCTCCCATACTTTTAATTTATTCTTTTAATCCCTAATCAAATCTCTCCCCATTAAATAATAAAACATGCATCATTAAACACTAATCCCCCCTCTTTACATCTCTATCATGGGTGGTGCTGCCGCTGCTCCTTCATCTTCGTTTCCGACCAAACTCATCTTAGCCGGCTGTTTCTTAAACTTCTTTTATAATTTAATTTACAGCTACTAATACCCTTATTCCTTCTGGTTAGTCCTCAACCTTCTTTTGTTTGTGTACATTTACGTAGGGTTTTGGCTTATTATGCATGCATGCAATTGCAACCCATGATTTGGCTTGTCTTGGTGATTTTCTTTCTATGCAGTGATAGGAAATCAGTCGAGTTTTTTTGGTTGAATCGAATCAATCGATGTCGTTGATAACGAATAAGATGCTCAACTCTTCTGAAAAAGAGGTAGCGTTTTTTGTTTTAGTTTTCTTTCTTGATTTTCGATTTTGAAACGAATTTTAGTGAGAATTGTTGTTAAATTTTGTTCTGATGGTGAAGCTGAGCGATAAGTCATCGGGAGCAGCAACGGATTCAAATTTTAAGAAAATGAACAACGAACCTAGCAATGCATCCCATCAAGTGAATGAAAATGTGCAGTCTAATCACCACCAGCACGACCCCAAAACCAAGGCTCCGGCAAATATGCCCAGGGTGCCGACAGATGCCGACATGAAACCAAATGATGCGAGGAACACCAATCTTTCAGGGAGTAGAAACAGTAGTCGCAGTGATAGCATGGAGAGCACCACCGCGCCGCTTAGGCCGCACACCGGCGGCGACGTGAGGTGGGATGCTATTAATTCGGTGAGTGCGAAAGGCCCCATCGGTCTCAGCAACTTTCGGCTTCTCAAGCGCATTGGATATGGAGATATCGGGAGTGTTTACCTCGTCGAACTTAGAGGAACCAATGCTTATTTCGCTATGAAGGTGATGGACAAGGCGTCTTTGGCAAGTAGAAACAAGCTATTGAGAGCTCAAACGGAACGAGAGATTCTTGGCCTTCTCGACCACCCTTTCTTGCCTACTCTATATTCTTACTTTGAGACTGATAAATTCTATTGTCTGGTCATGGAATTCTGCAGTGGGGGCAATCTTCATTCACTCCGCCAAAAGCAACCCAATAAGCATTTCACAGAGGAAGCTGCAAGGTTCATAATCTTCATATTTAATACTCACGTTTAGAGACCAACCTAAGCTTTTATGTCGGGGAGACCAACCCAAACTAGCAATGAGATTTTAGAGGCAAAATTAGGGATGGCAATGGGTCGGGTCGGGTCAGGTTTTTGGGCCACCCGACCCGAGAAGAAAGGGTTTTTCACCCGTGACCCGACCCGACCCGACGAAATTAAGGTTTCACCCGACCCGACCCGACCCGAATATATGATTTAGAAACCCGACCCGACCCGAAATAATAATAATAAAAAAATTTATTCAATGAAAACAGTGACTTAATTGAAAAAAATTATATATGGAGGGACATTATTGTAATTATCCCTAAATATATAGGATAAAATTATATATATTTTTCGGGTCGGGTCGGGTTGGATTTTTTTCACCCTAAACCCGACCCGACCCGAACAGTACATTTAAAAAAAATCCGACCCGACCCGAACCCGAATTTTTTTAAAAAAAATCCGACCCGATCGGGTCGGGTCGGAACCCGTCGGATTCGGGTTGAGTTGCCATCCCTAGGCAAAATCACATTATCAATAAAAAATATAAAAAAAATACCTAAATCCCTCGGTCGACTGAACTCACGATATAATGCACTCAAAATAAATAATTCACGAAATAACGTTCTCCCAAGATTATTTGTTGAAATAGGGCGAAATCAACAGTGTGGCCGTAGGTCGCCATGCCTTCCGGGCGACCTACGACGTGGCTTCCCCAACCATAGGTCGCCATGCACTCCCAGCGACCTCCTAGGTCGCCATGCACGCCCGGCGACCAAGGAGGTCGCTATGCACTCGCGGCGACATCCCCTACCGCATGCTCGCCTGCTCGCAACCTTGTCTTTGGCCCCTACTCCACGCTGCATGGTCGCCTGCTCGCTGCATTATTGCTCGCCTGCTCCCGAGTGCCCCATGCATGAACCGATCCTTGGTCATCCTTGGTCGCCTCGAGTGCCCCATGCATGAACTGAGCCCCGAGTGCATGGCACGATCTCCCCAATCTCCCCATGCATGAATCCTTGGTCGTCCCGAGTGCATGGCGACCTCCTTGGTCGCCGGGCGTGCATGGCGACCTAGGAGGTCGCTGGGAGTGCATGGCGACTTATGGTTGGGTTGTGCATGTCCCATGCACACGACCCTCGTCGGAAGCCACGTCGGAAGCCACGTCGTAGGTCGCCCGGAAGGCATGGCGACCTACGGCCACACTGTTGATTTCGCCCTATTTCAGCAAATAATATTGGGAGAACGTTATTTCGTGAATTATTTATTTTGAGTACGTTATATCGTGAGTTTAGCCTCCCTCGGTCTATCCGTGCTCACACCAAGATTCAATTTGAATTAGACCGACGCTAGTTTTCGTTTTCTTTTTGTTAATATATAGATTGATTCATTTTGGGTATTGCAGGTTCTTTGCATCAGAAGTGTTGCTGGCACTGGAATATTTGCACATGCTAGGTATAGTATACAGGGATTTGAAACCAGAAAACGTGTTGGTAAGAGATGAAGGTCATATAATGCTCTCGGATTTCGACTTGTCCCTCCGTTGCTCCGTCAATCCGATACTGGTGAAATCTTCATCAGGACATAATGCGAGCAACGGCGGCTACAACGGTGGCATCTTGGATAATGAGCAAGTGCCCGCGCATGGTTGCATGCAGCCATCCACATTCTTCCCCCGCATCCTGCCTAGCAAAAAGAATCGCAAATCCAAATCAGATTTCGGCCTCTTCGTGGGAGGCTCCATGCCGGAGTTAATGGCCGAACCAACCAATGTCCGGTCGATGTCGTTCGTCGGTACACACGAATACTTAGCGCCGGAAATCATCCGAGGAGAGGGTCACGGCAGCGCGGTCGACTGGTGGACTTTTGGCATCTTCTTATACGAACTCTTGCATGGAACGACACCATTCAAAGGCCAAGGCAACCGAGCCACATTGTTCAACGTAGTAGGGCAGCCACTGAGGTTCCCGGAAAACCCACAAGTGAGCTTTGTGGCTCGAGACCTCATACGAGGCTTGCTGGTCAAAGAACCGAGCAAACGTATTGCATGCAAAAGGGGAGCAACCGAGATAAAACAACACCCGTTCTTCGAAGGAGTGAACTGGGCACTGGTGAGGAGCGCAATGCCGCCGCACGTACCGGAGCCTGTGGATTTTTCGCAGTTGGCAACGAGGGAAGAGAAGAAGAGTAGCCATGGCGGTCATCATCATCTTCATAACGAACTTGTTGGAGATCAAGCAGCTCAAAAATCCAATTCATCTGACTACATACAATTTGAATACTTTTAACACACTACATTGACCTCTTCTCATTAACTTCATTACTGCAAAAATTAATTCTAAATGTGATGGATTTCAATAAAATGATTATAATTATATAATTATGATAATTAATATTTACTATGTAACCTATACATCATATAGATTGTTGTATGCTTAGGATTGGAGATTTTGTTTCAAGTTCTCCCGTCATCATTTACTAGAAATGTGTAATATTTCTCACATTTTAACATGCATTTTCTTATAATTCTTTTAAAAACTGAAAATACTTAGAAATTTGTCCATTGTACGTTTTTTCTTTTTATTATATTTGAAATTAAATAAGATTTGATGAATGATGACAATATATATAATAAAGGACCATACCGAAAAAGATGAAACATAGTTTAGTACTTTAAAAATTATTATTAATGTATCATATTATTAAACTAACAATATTTATAACCTTATAAATCAGTATATATATGGTCGAAATATTAGTTGTTAAATTAATAATCGAAAATACACAAAAATGAAGCACAATGACTATTGTTGACGATGCTTAAAGTATTTTTTTCAGCTTACGAGAAATCATTTGCCGTTGTAATTTTTGGACGAGTTGGCAACGCTACTTGGTTTTCTGCTCAACAAGGAAAGATATCCATGTCGGTTCCAACTTCCAAAGATTCTGCACAACGTGGCAGAATAGCGGGTAACAAAATGAATCACCCTTTGAAATACTTGATGGTTAAACATAAAAGTAAAATGAGAAACACAATTTGCAATCCATCCTAAATAATCCCCGTGGAGATGCTAGTAGTCGCATTTATCATCGGTGAGTGATCCGGGATATATGTACGACCTTTCTCCTTGGCATCAATCCGTAAACTGTCCAGTGTTATTATGCCATCAGTCAACGGAAGTAGCTCCATCTTAATGGTAGTCGTAGATTGAGCAGGAATACGTCCTAGTGGTACTCTAATCTGCAGCCAGAGATGAGTACATCCCAAACCAGAAGTTGGAATGAAAAATATGAAATTAGCTATTGGAGCCAACTGCTCGTCAAAAGAAGTAGACTGTAAAAGAAGAATTTCAATGACAGGGTCTCTGAGAAAACCAATGCCAACATTTACTTGTAAAAGCACCACTATATCTCCATTGGAAAGAGAGGAACACTTGACAGTACCTCTAGCTGCTCCACCAGAAACATTGGCACCAAGGTTTCCTCTATCAATAACTGCAGTTAGACTAGATATGTTTTTAGCAGTGTTTTTTGTTTCATTTTGAACAGACCATTGACTATCTATTTCAGATGAATCAGAAGCTGTCTGAGGAGCACATTTTTTCGACCATAGAGGTTCACCCCTCTCTGCAATCCTAACAAAGAAATGAGAGTTATTAAACCTTTTTAATAGTGTTTCAGTCTGCCTTTTCTGGTCTTCCACTCTATTAAATGATTCACTATCATAGACATCTTTTGCTGGATCAATCTTCTTTCTCCAAGTTCTCATCATTCAGATCCATTACAGCACCACCATGATTCACTTCCTCTCCTCCTGCCACTGAATTTGTCTCACCCTTCTTGTTTAAATTTTGTTTCTTAGCATCTTTGCGTATGCCACTTTTACTCATCACTGCAGCAACTTTAAAAGGGGTATTAAAAGGGGTAATAATTTATGTTTCCTGATTAGATGCTGAAAAGCGTGCTAGAACATGGACTTGTTCACCAGGAAAAACAAAAGAACGATCCAGGGAACGTAATAAGCGTACGTCTGTTGCATGATTCCAATCATCAGGGAGAGCCCTATGTGGAATAATGATCCATTCATCCTCCTCAGTAACATCGGTGTGGCTCGGGATGACAGAAGCATTCTTATCACTAGCAACATCAAAATTCTTGCCTAAAAATCCATTGCCTTGTCCATGATTTTCAACCGTGGGATACTCAGGAAACGGATCTTCTACCATAAGCCTTTCCAAACTTTTCAGAGACTTGGGAACATAAGATGACTCAGGCATATCCACTTGTACCAGAGGTGGTTATGGTGTTCCCCGTTTTGTTTCCACCAATATCAGCTTCTGATCGGAGGTCAAATGCTGATGAGCATTCCTTTTTCACTCTTTCTATCTGTTTGGCGCCTGGGAAAAGGGAGATCTCATTTCCTGACGGGACATTTTAACCATACTACATTCGGTTGTTCGATTAATTTGAGTTTACGGTTAAAGGAATTAAATATAAATCAAACAAACAAACAAACTCAATCGGTTCAATGCAACCTATCCGATTTTTTTAACATTGGTCGGAGAAAGAAGACAAAAAACAGAATAAAATAAAATAAACTATCGTTGACACCAATGTAAACCGCCGACCGAATTGTGTCAGCAGAAAAACACTGCGAGTGAGCCAACCCGTTCTGGAATTCAATCATTTCTCTCGACCGTGGGCCACATAAGGGAGGCGTATGCGAAGCCGAGGGTGAGGGTCTTCTGAATAAATCTCTCGTTGACCTTTATTTGAAGGAGTTGGCGATCGGGATTGCGGTGGTTCTTTTCAACCAAATTTCGATTCGAAATGGCGTTCCCCAGTAAGATTAAGGTGATGAATCCCATAGTCGAGATGGACGGTGAGATTTCAATCCCTCAAACTCCCTCTTCAGTCTTCCCGTTTTTTATTTGTCTACCTTAACCGTTGATTCTTCCCTTCTTCTTCTTCTTCTTCTTCTTCTTCAAATGCAGGAGATGAAATGACTCGTGTTATCTGGAAATCTATAAAGGAAAAGGTAGTTTTCTTTGTTTTTTTTTTGTTTTTCCCCCTTTCTCACGCCTGTTTTGGTCGAATGTTTTCAGCTAATTTTTCCCTTCTTGGATATAAAGTATTATGACCTTGGTCTTATTAATCATGATGCCACGAATGATGAAGTTACAGTAGCAAGTGCTGAAGCTACTCTTAAGTATGGCTTTGAAATCAGTGTTAATAAGTTTGTAATTGTATACAACATTTAATGTCTTTGCTTTGATGTTAATTCCTTTGTATATGTAATTGTAGGTATAATGTAGCAATTAAGTGTGCAACTATAACTCCAGGTATGGATTTCCTAAACCTTTTACTTACTAAAGAGAGGGTAGTGAGGAAGAAATGAGAGATAAAATCATTGGTTGGGGTGGGGGAAGAAAAAACAAAAGTAGATTCAATATATGTGTGTGCATAGTTTTTGTAAGAAGCGGCATAGGTGAAAGTGTTTAATTTTTTCATGCCAATGCATCGAAAAAAATGTCATATCATCATGGTAATGGTGTTTTTCTAATGGAAATAGTAATTTTACTCATTAGAGAATGTCATGGAAGAGTACTGCAGTTGTCCCAATTGACTAAGAGGGTTCATTGAAGTGATTTACTGTATGATTTTTGACAGATGAAGGCCGTGTTATGGAGTTCAACTTAAAGAAAATGTGGAAAAGTCCAAATGGGACTATTCGAAACATTTTAAATGGTAAGTGTTTCTCACTTGGTATGATTTTGTTCCCAGTTTATTGCTATTGTTTTTATTTGCTTTTGTTTTGGGATTTGAAAGGGCTCAAATAATTTCTCCTTTTTTTTCATTTTTTTGTGACTCCAGGAACAGTTTTCAGAGAACCAATTATTTGCAAAAATGTCCCTCGGCTTGTTCCAAGTTTGTGCATCATCTTAATATTTCTGTTTCATTATTCTTATCATCACTGTTATTTGTTTTATTCATCTAAAACATTTCAGGCTGGACCAAGCCAATCTGCATCGGGAGGCATGTTTTTGGTGATCAGTACCGAGCAACCGATTTAGTTGTACAAGAACCTGGAAAACTCATGCTTGTTTTTGGTAATCTCCTATTTTAACAGAGAAACTCTGTCAATCTATAGGTTTTGTACTTTGACATGGCCTAGCAGATTTTCTGCAGAGGAAAACCCATATTCATCTTACTTTAATTTTATTTTATCTCATGACTCTTTATTTTTGCAGTTCCTGATACAAGTGGTGAGAAGAAGGAGCTCGAGGTTTTCAACTTCAAAGGTTCTGGCGGTGTAGCTTTGTCCATGTACAACACTGATGAGGTACATGTTCAACATGTGACATGTATGCCCAACAGGTTTCTAGAATCCATTAACTATTATTATGGCTTTGAATTGAAAACAGTCTATTTGTGCTTTTGCCGAGTCTTCAATGAACAATGCTTACCAGAAAAAACGGCCACTTTATCTTAGCACAAAAAATACAATTATGAAGAGTTATGATGGAAGGTTTGCATTTGCATGATATGGTTTTTTGTTTTTTTTTCACATTCTTACTTCTTATTTGATCTTTGTAACCATGTATTTCTATAATTTGGTGATTTCTGATGTTTTTCTTTTTTCTGAAGATTTAAAGACATTTTCCAGGAAGTTTATGAAACTCAATGGAAATCCAAGTTTGAGGCAGAAAGTGTTTGGTGAGATACAGTACCCATTGCAGTTTTCTATTGTTCTTATTTGGAGTAACTACACTAGCATAACTAGCTTTGCTGTGTTGTAGGTATGAGCACCGTCTTATTGATGATATGGTTGCTTATGCTCTAAAAAGCGAAGGAGGTTATGTATGGGCATGCAAAAACTATGATGGAGATGTGCAGAGTGATTTCTTATCCCAAAGTCTAGCATATTTAAGATTATTACATCTGCTTCATATATAATTATAAGCAGCTGCTTCTCTGAAAGTAAAAGAGGCATTTCATTGAGAAATTTCTATCTAAGGTTTTTAATGCCATGCTTCATTTCCTTTGTTGATTTGCTAAGCTTTTTTTCCCTTTTTTGCACGGGACAGGGTTTGGATCTCTTGGGTTGATGACATCAGTGCTGGTATATTCTCTCCCCTCTCAACTAACACATCCATAAATAGATAGAGAACAGCACCTATGCACATGCACCATAGCCTAATGGCCTCATACATAGAAAAGATAAAAGGAATAAGACAGGCACAGCATCCATGCACAAGCACCCACAATGTAACAACCATTAGGGACATTTTTGTTGGATATAATCTTGTGAAATCTCTGAGCAGTAAGTTCTTAACATGGATGGAAATCAAATAATGTTCTGAAAAAAAGTTGTAATTCAATTTCAGAAAGACTAAATATCTGAGAAAGAGAGAAATGGTGTACTGTAGTGCTCAGGTGGTTTTGATGCAGGCTGCTGAAGCATCAAAGAAAAATAAGAACTTGTGGGCTTAATGGAAAATTGTAATTGCTGCTTTTGACTAAAACAAAGTAAAAACTGAAGAAAATGCTGTCTTTGATGGCTAATTTTCGTGAATAAAAAAACAAAATACTTTTCAGATTCTTCTTTCAGTATTTCTTTAGCCTTCTTTCAAAAGGGTATATCCATCATCTCTTAGAAGATAGAAGCTTTAATTGCAGATGTTCTTGGACAATTTGTATGGGATGCGGAAAACTAGGTCTTGTTGATTAATGATTCATGAATTTACATAAAGGTTTTACTAACATGACATTATTGTAATTTGTAAATTAGTTGAATAATATTTTTAACTCAAAACAAAATTTATATAAAGCCATTACGAATACTACATGGAATTTGGTTCTTATAGTGGTTACAGTATACAACTTCGAACAATTCATTATGTTTGTAACGCTGTCAGCTACCGTGATAAAACCCCCAACTATAATTTTAAATTATCTCGTATTTTCTTTTTGGGTATATGAGTAATTGAATTTTTTTCCAGGTGTGCCCAGATGGAAAGACTATTGAAGCTGAAGCAGCTCATGGAACAGTTACCCGCCACTACCGTGTTCATCAGAAAGGAGGTGAAACCAGCACTAATAGCATTGTCACGAGGACTTGCGCACAGGTATTGTTTTGTTATTCTCAATCTAGTAATTGAGTTCATGTAGTCTGTTTTGTTGAAAGCTTGGAATTCTTAAGGCGGTGCTTTAAGTTAGGAGTTAATTTCCCTTGGAAACTGAGAATTCTTGATGAACAAATAATGTGCAGGAAAATACACAATACTTTAAAATTCTTGCATTTAGAATTTGTAAATCGGCATAACAGTAGGTAAAAGAATATCTTGCATTTTCAATAATCTGGTTACAGCTTAAGGGACATATATTATATATATTCAAGAGTCTTAATAGGAAAGTCAACTATACAAGAAATATGGAAACACTTATAAGTTAGCCTATAAATTTGGCAAAAATCTGTAAATAATCTGTTCATATCAAACAAGGTAAATACTAGAATTGGTAAGTCAACTAACGGAATTAATTGCAATTGTTCGTGGAAAATTGTTTTCTAGGCTCTTGCAGCAACATTTTAGAACATAGGAATGGTTAATGCAAGTTAATTTAATTCTTATAATGCCCTAATTTGCATATAGATTCACTTGAATAATTTTCTCTTAGTAATTCAGATTATAGTGTAATAGACAGTTTTGAACATTTCAATATTCAATAGTTCCCTAATTAATTTTGCGAGTAGTATAAAAGGAAAAGGAGTACCATAATCCTTTTTTTGTTGTAATGATAGTTAAATTGCATGCTAGCATCTTAGATAAAAGCTACCTGACCTATTTGTCCAATCATTATTTCAGTCATGTTAATCTCCCTTAACCTTTCACTTTCAAACACGGATAATGGATCGCATAATTTAAACTTGGAACTTCTGAATGTTAAAAGGACTCTTCACTAGTATTAGGATCACATAGACTTCAATTGAAAACTTAAATAGGAACAATATGCTCGAGGCACGGAAGCCAAGGAATATGCCTTTATTGAAACTACATATATGCAAAGTGGAGCACAGATTAGTTTGCTTGGAAATTATATGCAAAGTGGAGCACAGATCAGTTTGCTTGGAAATTATATGCAAAGTGGAGCACTTTCATTAAAGACGTATTATACATTAAACAACAATGCATTTACAATGCCTTTCATCAAACCCATAATTTAATTAAATGAAGTATAATATCCTCATTTATGGGTGAGATGTCTTTTAATTTGAAGACGTAACTCAAAACTCAATACTAGGGCTGTAAAAAATCTGACCCGACCTGCAAAACTGACTGAAATCGACTCGAGTTAAAACTGTTTTTGATCTACACTATAGCGATCCGAAACCGACTCGAGTCAAAACTGGTGTTGACCTGAACAAGATTTGGATATGGAAATTGTGGATCCAAACCCGACCTGCATCCGACCTGAGAACGACCTGAACCCGAATTGAACCGAAAATATGATACCCGAACCCGAACTGCATCTGACTGATATGAACCCGAACCCGAGATTGACCTGGTAAATAACTGGTATTATCCGACCTGTTTTCAACCTGATTTGTTTTCAACCTAACATGTTTTTAACCTGATCTGTTTTTAATCTGACATGTTTTTAACCTTACCTGTAAATGATCCGACTTGTTAATGACCTGATCTGATATTTACCTGACTTATATATTACCATGGAAATCTTATAAATTATTAGTTTTTTAGTTTATGATGTAATTAAAATATTAATATGATTACTTTTTAAATGTTACACTAAAATATTTATTATAATACTTATATTAATAAATAGACCTATTATATAAAATTATTTAAATGTAAATTAGACAAAACATTATTAACAATGCAAAGGAAAATTAATATAGTTTAATTTATAAAAATTATATAGTTTAATTTATATAAAGAAAAAATAATATTAATAATAAAAGTATTTATTATGTAACATATATTAATGGTTTACATTAATAATATGAATAATTTTGGCAATAAAATAATAATTAAATTGATAATAACTGAATGTTAGTATTAAAAGTGATTAATTCTCTAAAATATAAATATAAACTATACCGTTTAATTTTTGTACAAAAAATATCTAATAATTATAACATAAATGAAAAATAATATAAAATATAAATTTAATTTATAATAATAATTTAAATAGCAGTTAATATAAAATTTGAATTACATTTGAGTCAATTCAAGTTCAATACAATAAAATGAAAAAAATTAAAAAAATTTAAGCTCTCAGATCTTATAAAAAAAAGTTATAAGGCTAAAAGTCAAACTTTGCTACCAGAAATTTCTTCATCAAACTTTTATATCGAAATAGCTGCCAACATTGTTAAATTGCGGGTAACTTTTAAAGCTACCAACATAATTTAACATGAGTAGCTATTTCCAAAAAAAAAATGACAGTTTGAACAATCTATTTAAGTCAGACCAACAAAATAAAATACAAGGCAACAACAGGAAGCAAGCAGCAGGCAGCATGAAACAGCAGGCAGCAACAGCAACAGAAGGTAGATTTTATGCATTAAACAAACATTTTAATCAGTGGTAAAGCCAAAGGGAATACGATGGCCAACAGTGCCAAACATTTCCGACTTTACCAAACCCATACATAATAAAACATTCAACATTGTTTATGAAAATAAAATTAATATCAAGCAAAATCAGAATGTGTTACTTTGGACAGAAGCATCCTACAAAAAAACAAAAGCATCAATTAAAATTTGTTTCAGATAAACATAATAAACACAATAAGTAATTAATAAGTAAAAGTTACATGTAATAGAAGAAAAAAGACTGAATCGTAAATTCCAATGGCTTCACTTAACGTTAACAACCTAAAAATTAAAATTAAAATAATTAATAAACAATTTGAAATATTGAGATTAAAATAAAATATAAAGCAATTATATCATACATTTACATAGCATAGTCATTAACCACATTAAGGTAATCTTCATCCTTATCCCCCGACTCAAAACCATACAACCAATTACGGGTTGTAACAAAAATCTCAACATTTTTTTGTAAGAGTGAAGCTCTTAATTTGGTCAAAATTTTACCCCATACTAAAGGATGATTCAGATGCAACTGAAGTAATTGGAATAGCCAATATATCTCTCGTCATGCGAGAAAGTACATGATATGAAACACGTTGATTTTTTCAATACTCCAAAATATCAAAGTTTGATTCTCCAGTACGAGGGACAAGGGGCAAACTGATGTACGAGTCAACATTAGACCGTCCACACCTTGAAACAACTAAATTGGCATCAAAATTCTGAAAAACAAAAGACAAGAAATTAGTAAATAAAAAAAGGAAATAAATAAGTTAAAATTCAACTAGAAATTATATTAACTAACTTGAAATAAATTTGATTTTCTAAATGTTCGAGGCCGATTGGAACTTGAGCCACTTCTGTCCAAGGTTATGTTACTTTGGACAGAAGAAAAAAAAGAAGAAACACAAGGTGCATTTTTTAATAAAATACGTATAACTCAAGAAACTCGACATAAATGAGACTTACCCTCCGTTGAACCTCATCCTCAACATAAAGAACATTGTACAACTCCTTAAGCAGTTGTAATTTATATTAAAACATCAAAAGATAGAATCATAGAGTAATCAGACCAATATTTCTCATAAAGTTCAAGCATGGGTCATGCCATTGCAGAAATACCTTCACAAGGATCATTATGAGCATCACACAACAATTTCTCAATTGCAACAACGTTAGCCAAATACAAGTTGGAAGTGTGATACTTAGAACCAGAGAACATAGAAGTAATTTCATAAAAAGGCTCAAGAAAATTACAAATTGTTTGAATTGTTTCCCATTCATAATCAATAATGATATCTAACTCATTTTCCCTATTAACAAACAAGTTAATTCCTAATCTAGCCTCAAATGCCCTATGAATCATCAAGTAAGTCGAATTCCAACGAGTAGGAACATCCAATACTAACTTTCCAGAGAAAGAAGAATCACAATCTTTAACAGCTAATTCAAAGGCACAAAGTCGAGAGTCAGAAGAATCAATAAACTTAACAATATGACGTAATTTATTAACGAAAAAATCAATTACCTTCAAACCTTTTTGAACTATCAAGTTCAAAATGTGGGCAATACACCTTATATGGAAGTACTTACCATTGCAAGGAAGATGAGAAATGACATTCAAATCATCTTTCAGTCTCTTAACCATTTTATCATTTGCAGAAGCATTATCAAGTGTAATGGTAAATGTTTTTTTCAAGACCCCATTCACATATCATCTTTTTCACAAACTTAAAGATAGACTCAACATCATGAGGAGGAGGAAAACGAAGAAATTTAAGTATTTTAGACTTAAGTTTCCAGTTATTATCAACATAATGAGCAGTAAGGGCAAAATAAGAACGTGAAGTGCAGGCAGACCAAGCATCACATGTAAAACAAACACGACTTGAGACAGAATGCATTGAATCAAGTAGTGATTTTTTTGTTTTTCATGCTGCAACATGCAATACTTAGTAACAATATATCTAGATATTTCCTTAACATAAGAATTATGGTAATGATGTAAATCCCTAAGTTTGTCATGCTCAATTATACTATATGCATAACCATGACACAGAATAGCCTCAACAAACAATTCACAGTATTTGTTTTGGTCAAAAGAAGCTACACTATCTGGATTTTCAGAAATAAAATCCTTATATGCTTGGCATTTCTTTGTATGCCTTTTAGGGTTAGATGTACCAATATGAGAATCAGCTTTATACCTTTTCAATTTGAAATACTTACACTCGACATAAACAAAACCATCATCAGCTTTGGTGAATGTGTAGTGGTCCCAAACAGCAAAGGTTCTTCTCCCAAATTCGAATGAACCAATGGCCTTCCTCTTAGAGGATTTATTTAAATCAACTGCATCGGAAATCACAGCATTTATATCTCCTTGCAAAAAAAAATTAAGGTTAGCAACCAACCTTAAAAAAGCAATTCGAATGAACAACCAACAGTAGCAACAAAATAAACAGTTTATTTAAACTCTAAATAAAGGCAGCTAACAACCTTATAAAAGCAATCCGAATGAACAACCAACAACACAAACAAATCAACAGTAGCAAC